GGAATTTTTTTTTAACTGGAAAGATTTAGACACTCAGCAGTTGCCATCTCAAGGAACCATTCCTTTTTTTATATTTTCCTTTTTCACCTATCCCTACAATCTTATGAGTAAGTGTGCCATTTAAAATTTTAATAAGGTAGTCCACAACTCCTGTAAATTTTAAGTTCCGAGACTATTAAAGAATTGTGGAAGATGCAGCAATAAAGGAGTTTTTAATAGTAATTCTAAAACTAAAGGTGTTAGGTGCTTTACCTGCATGAGTTTTCAATGTTCTGGACTGCTTATTGCCCAATGGCTCTGAATACATTAAAACACGAACACATACGCCACCTATATTTAAAATAGGGTAGCATTTGTATGCCCATATAAGCATTGGGTATATCTTTGTGCAAGAGTAATAAAGTCACTGAGTCCTTTTAAAAGGACTGATCACAAATGCACATTTCCTCAAACTGTATACATACACAAAAAAACTAGGGTTGAAAAGGGAGACAGAGGGACAAACGTATTAGCAGTTGTAAAACTGGAAACTAACACAACATAAATGTTTGCGTCCTGAGATTCATTTCTGTTCCCATTCTTTGTCACTGAAGGTCTAGGTTTCAAGTTTATTCTGTATTAGCTACTAAAGAACAGTATCCACTAATGGAACTAGTAATAATTGTAATGGCTTGTTTTTGTTCCACCCTCCCACTACCTTTACCCCAAAACAGGTAGTTTTGCCAACATAAAACAAACACTGACATTAAGCACCAAAGGCTAGTCCACAGTGGCACTGCAGTGACATTGTTTCTACTTTCTCATTCCTTCCCCCGATCTCAAACCCCACCCCCTTTGACCTCTGTATATGGGATGAGCCTGAGCAGGAGAGTTGGTGATGTCAGGACTGCGCCGTTCCCACGGATGCTCCTAGAGGCCTGCTGTGCTTCTGGGAACTGGGGCACAGTGATGTCTGTCTGACTGAAACCTAAAACAACAACAATTCACCCCACCCCTCATGTTCCCAAACCCCACAATAGCAGCCAGGTATATATGCTATATAAGGCCCAGCTAATAAGTTTGAATATGGTGAAATCTGAAAGCAAGATCATTCTTAACAAGTCCATGATCTTCATGGGGATATCAGAACGGGGACTGTTAAATTCTCCATGTCCCATGCAATCACATAGTCCACACATTCTAATGCTGGCCATTCTTAGCAAGAGAACAACGTTCTCTGGTACAAGCCCTTTTTTAGTATCTATCATAAATTCCTTCAGGAGGCAGCTGGGTGGGATTCCTCTGTTAGTAAATTTTACTTCAACACATACATAATTTTGTCTTAAGATGTTTAGGGGAGAAATGGCCCTATCTTATATAAGTGAATTGAAGCACAAACAGGTTAATGATTTATTTTATGCTTTCAGCTGTAGAATGCATTATAAGCCACAATATCCTATTAGCTAACTAGTGAATTTAAAACCTCTTCAGATAGGACATCTAAAGACACAGAATAAAATTTGTACAGAAGTCTATCTTGAAAAGGTCCTGACCACTGTCACTAAAATTCTAAGAGGATTATCCTCGCAATGGTAACAACTCATATCAGAACTAAAACTCTAGGAATGACAGGAGAAAGGAGGAAAGGGCAAGGGACTGGGGTATACAGAGAAAGGTATACTACATTAACGGAAAGGCTATATTAAAATGGACAAGTTGCATTCCTATTCCTGCCACTAAGCCTTTGGTTAATGGGCTTAATGATTTGTGCTTCAGAAATGCCCTCCAAACTGCTCAAACCTGTAATTTTTTAAATATTTGAACGATTATGATAACCTGAAACTGTTCACATCTCTGTTAGAACTAGTGTCTTAGAAATGCTAAAATGATTAGTTCTGAAATCACACTGTTCCTAAAATAACTGAAATGCTTTCTATTTTCTTTGTCTCATCATTCCTTTTCACCTTTATAATGATGTCACAGAAAGAGAAGCACTAAGATCAACTCAACACTATGGTGAGTTTTTACCATATATATAACCTAGAACCTAATTTTACCTTTTCAAACTCTAGTTTTCCATACCTGTCAACTCCTAATTGATGTCTTTATACTGTGAGCTCACTGTGTATTCGGAACACCAACCCCTGAAAAAGCTTAAGCCAGAGTAGCACAATGGAAGAAACAAACAAACCCAAAACAAAAACAAAGCCAAAAAAGTCACACTCTGAAATACTTAATTATAGACATATATGCAAGGAATGGAGTTATCTAAATGGCTAAAGTAAATCCCCAAAGAAAGTCCTGAGTTCATCCCAACCAATTCAAACTTTACCCCCAAAAGTTCTTTAATCAAATTATTTGTTAGATATACTTAAGCGTTATTTTCTAAATAAGAGTTTTTACAAACCCATGGTTGCCTTTAAAGTACACAAAGAAAGAAAAATTTTTAAAAAGAAAGTAAAGTTAGCCTTGCGATGGAAAGAAAGGAGAGTCAAATTACCTGCAAGCAGGCTGGGGCTGTGCCTGAATCCAAACCGCTGCATTTACCATTCATTATACAGCTGCATTATTGGGGGAAGGGGAGTTTAGAAGGGCACTGACCCCGAAAGTTCTCAATACTTCTCACTCATCATCAGGAAGGGGGAAGAAGGAAAGTTTTTTCTCTGGGTATTTTTTTGTTTGTTTGTTTTTGTTTTTTTGGCTCCTGAAAAGGCTGGCAAAGAACAGTAACAGTGCAAGCAGTTAGAATATTTCTTTAAAAACAATTTTAAAAAATGCAAAACATTAAGGAATTTAAAACACCAAACTTCCGTTAATATAGAAAGAATTTTCACTAGAGTTAGGCAGCCACCCCAAAACAGCATGGCAAAAGGGCACTGATATAAAGGAAATAAAATACCACACAAAACTCCAAAACAAAACTAAAAACATTTCAAATTAAACCTGGAAGACTAGAAGATTCCAACAGCAGATTTCTGTCCACTACTGAAACATTCCAAAATCCAAGCTTCAAAGGCGCCTAAATGTATCTTAAATGAAACTTTGTTTTTTTTTTAAGAAAAAAAAAAAAGAAAGAAAGAAAGCAGTGAACCTGGTTATAAATCCTGCAATATATTACATTTAAAAATATCCTAGTACAACAAAAACAAATTTTAAATGAAATTAAACAAACAAACAAACAAATAAAAACAGTAGCAGCAGAGGTTACCTGTCTGAGCACCTACATTTTCTTAGGAGGGGATCGTGTCTCACCAGCCATATAGCCCATAAACCTTCTCAAAAAGAGTGAGCCAGGAGAAAAATGTAACACAAGATTTGATTTCACAATGTCTCTACGCTCCCCAGACCCCAAACTGGGGATTCACTGAATGAAGAGAATTTGTTTTTCCATTGTTTTCTTCTTGAGAAAAAGAGATGATTTTTAAAGTCAATTCTTTCAATGCCTTCGATACCTTCTCAAAAGTCTGATAAAGTGCTTGATGAAAGCAAGTCTCTTGGTGGATTTTTCTAACGTTCCAGCATATTTTCTTATTGATAGCATATACAGAAAGATTTCAAAGTTCAGTGAAGGAAAAGCCAGCAGAAATGACCAATCAATTTTAGGCACCAAAAAAAGGAAAAAACTATTAAAAATTTTAAATGGAATAGTTCATGGGGGTGTGTGGGTGGGTGTGTGTGTGTGTATGTGTAGTCCAGTTTTCATCATAGGTAACATAAAAACAATATCAGAAAGAATTACTTTTAAAATACAATTAAGAATTACAATTTTAACAATACACAATTTTACAATAATTCAGATTTGGGCATGATAAGAATTATACATATTTGATAAATACATTTTTAGCTCTCATAATAGCAATGAAGATTATACAAAAGTTATTAAACAATATGAAAATATATTTAAGTTTCACTTATATATCTGGGGTGTTTCATCTGGGTTCTTCCAGAATGATTTGTTCATATTCTTTACCTTAATTTTCGAGGGAGTTCAAGAAGATACTCATGTTTTTAAATGCTAAGATGATCATTCCTAACCTCTTTATTCTAACATGTGAGTGTATAAGTCCAGAAATAGGTTGGTAAAGCTATGTTTTAATATAGTGTGAATGCACAAAAGATTGATCAGTAGTGAATAAAACTAAAGGTGAAATAATCTCACATAATTCTGATATTTGGTTAGTTTGGTAAAATAGTTTTAAAGGCTATCTACATTTTTCCTGACACCTTATCCCACCCAACAACAAACCCTGAGTTTTTCATCAAGTAGAGAGGGTGTTCTATTTTTTTAAAATTCATAAATCTATATACATGTGATATGTAAGTATTTAATGTATCATAATTTATGTGACAACCAGATGCTCTCTACACAATCGTATGAATAACTTAATTAAGCACTTCTTCCTCCCTCATTTACTTCTCTATCCCAAATATGCATCCTCCTATGGTCATTCAGTGAAAGAAGTACCAAGTATTTCTTTCTGTTAATGAGTCAGAGGTACTTATAGACATATGTAAGGTCCACAATAACCCTATGCAAATTCTTTTATATGAGATTAGAATATCTTAAAATAAATTAGAAAATCCTCTTATTATCATCTTTTTCTGAGGTGAAATGAGACACTGCACAGATTAGAGGTACTATTCTATTTGCCAACAATCAACCTTTCACTCAATTTCAATATTATTTAATTCTATGGAAAAGAACAAATTTTATTACATTCCTTTTTAAAACGGGGGAAAAAACTGTACAAGCATGATCAAACCTCTGTTAGAGCTGGTTAATACTGATCTTTTATTATTGCCTCGAAGTCTCTCTAGTAGTGTCCGAGAAATTATGTTTAAGGTCCATCTGAAGGAAAAAAGCACTGGAGAGGCAAGAAAGGACTCAGGTAAAAGCTTCAGAGGATTGTAGTGAGATGGAACTTGCTGTTTAAAAAAAATTACGTTGAGTTCTGGAGAATCTCCATTTCTTAACACACCTTCCAAACCCATTATTCAAATAGATTTACCCATGTTTTAAAGGCTCGTGTTATATGCCATTTTGGGGCTTTTATAAATTCAGAAATTAAAGGAATATATGAAGAGTGGGCAGTATTGAAGGCTTTGGAGTTGGGCTATAAGAGACTTAATACTGCAAAATAAGTCTCCAAACAAAAACGTCCAGTCCACCCCACCCTAAAACCTATGTGTAATAGGAGAAAATGCACAGCCAGAAGCATAGAAAAGCATGTAGCCTTAAATAAATCATACACTGAACAGTCTAGAACCAAAGAAAAAAACCAAACAACATACATATACATTAAAAGGCCTTAGAAGCATCTATTCTCTTTATGTCTTTAGTGAGTACCTCTACCCCAGTGTAGTTATTAAAACAAGTTATCTGTTATTTAAAGTAAAAACTGTTTCCCCATCATGCTCCATTTTCTAGAATCTATCCTTTTTGATTAGTTGGTGTAAACAAAAAGCAAAACACATACACATGCATGCGTGCACACACACACATATATATACTCCCTCCTAAAATGTGAAAAATGTAAATATATAATGCTGGTATTATAAAATCACTTCAGCTTTATACTTAAGAACTTATAGGCCCTTGATTTGCCCCCCAAAAATATTTTCCCTTGTCCTTATACTTTAAATGCCCAACCACCAAAAGAAAAAAGGAAAAAGAAAAAGGCTTTAAATGCACATGTTTCAAGTCAGTGTCTTGTTAACAAAAAGGTAGCACTTTCTTCACTTTGGCCATTGTTAAAGATGCAGGCATAGATCAGGGAATGTTAGACTAGCATGTATTAAAAAAAAATTGCAACATTAACAGAGCATGTATCTTTCAAAAAAGATTAAAACACTAACATATACAAGTCAATGCACATATTTTAAACTAGTGTAATTTTATCTACATTGGAGTAAATGTCATTTTGTGTACCAGACATTGCAATACTGTTCATTTCCTTTTCATCATACGAAAATGCCAATTCTGTCATTAAGAAACCTTTATTGGGTCATATTAATATTGCCCTCCCACCCAAATTAAAGGAAAAGCAAAAAACAGAAATAATAAATCCCAGTAAAAGAGCTCCTCAAGACTTCATAAACTATGAACATAAAGTTGCTAGTTAATATGGTAAAGGCAGAATTTTCAGAGTTGTATGTAAAAATTCCTATAATTTAGGTAGATGTTTTCCTCTCATTACAAATCTTTGCAATGAAATGTGAAGTAACGCTACGACAAAATCTGTAGCAACTGTACAAAAGCAAAAGCAAAGGGCCATGAAAAAAAGTTGTGTGTTCTTCATGACCTGAGAGCATACACATTGAGTAATTTTAAAGGGTAACATAAGAGCCTGACATTTTTCTGTATCTCACCTCTTCTACCATTCTATCTGTAAATTAAAGTCAGTAACATCTTAATAGCAGAGGTCTAGTCTATCTCCCCTTTCTTCTCTCCTAATTCTACTCAATTTTCTTTCATCTTCCTGAGTACCCTTCCATGAACAGCATTGCAAGTTGGTTTAAAAAAAAAAGAGAAAGAAAGAAAAAAAAGAAGAAAAAGAAAGTGAGTTTTACAAGGGTTTTGTTGGTTAATTATTTACCGGTGGAGTCACTCCACCAGGAGTTTGATTTCATTGGCTATCAGCTGGTTCATGTTGAATAGGCCCCCCGGGAGCTTGGTCAGTAGCTCTCGCTCCGTGCTTTCAGGGTCGCTGTCAACAGAGCTGGAACTTGCGCTCATGTTGTCGACAGCAGTGCTGGCTGGGGGACCCAGCTCCGGCTCACTAGTCTCACTGGCCGTGGACACCACGGAGAGCAGGGACATACGCCGGGTGAGCCGGCCAGAGGGCAGGAGGGAGGCGGCATAGTCCGCTATGATACCAGCTACATCTAGATTACAAGCCTTATCAAAGGCGATGAAACCTACATTTGCATTGGCCTCGCAGACACAGAAGGAGCCGTCATCTTTCATCAATAGGTCAATGCCACACACATCCATCCCCAGGATATTAGACACCTGGATAGCTAGCTGCTTCCCTTGTTCACTCAAGGAGCACATCATCCCCACACCACCTGGCAAAAAAGAAACAACATAAGTTACCAAAATGATAAATTTTTAGAGTAAAACTAAAGCTTGCCTCTAATGCTGATTGTCTTTTAAATTAGCAGTGATAACAAATGTGCCATTCTAGTGTAAAATTGTGACTTCCAAAATCTAAGTTTCCTTCATTAGAGAATCCCTGTTCAATTCAAAGAAATAACTTAGTATTTTTTCAATATGCTATTTTTTTCTGAAGACGGCATTAAACTTTCACAGAAACTTATTTTACTTGCAATAATATGGACTGAGGTGATAGTCTAAAGACTTCATATTTCTATGAAGGCAGAGGAGAGTAGAAAACGGAGAGTATCAGGGAAAACTGTTACTTTCTCAAATAATAGGAGGAAATAAGTGTCTGATTTAAGCATAGGGAAAGAAAAATTAACCACTAATGGAATGTAAAACTGTGGATGAGCATCCAGGTTGACTGAGTTTGGGAACCGGGGTGGAAATGGAATTAATGGTACCTTACAAACCAGCAAACACAAAATAAAACTGGAATAAAGGAATAACATGAATTGTATTGGCAATTACGCTAAAAACAAACTGAAATTTCCCATGGAAAAGGTGGAAACCGGTCAGATTGGTATGAAACACAAAGTTTATCTATATACTGTACCAAACAAAAAAAAATTCTGAAAACTAAAGGGATGGGCAAAGAGATAAGGGACAAAGGCAAAAACAAACTTCACTTCATAGCTTTATACCTCTTGAATATAGTATATACCCACATACCCATTTTTCCTTTACTGACAATAAACAATCATGTGTTTGCCCAAAACAAACAAAACCTTAACAATTTTTTTTTTAAGAGAAAGAGAAACCATGTAAGTTGGGGGTTGGGACAGATGGAGGGAGAGAATGAATCCCAAATAGGCTTCAAGCTCAGCTCAGCGTGGGATCTCAAAACCCTGAGATCATGACCTGAGCCAAAATCAAGAGTCAGATGCTCAGCCGACAGAGCGGAGGTGTCCCAACAAATTATAAAACACATTTTACAGGCAACATTCTCTGACAATAACCCAAGATTAGAAATTAGAAATTAGGAGTTAATGATTTAAGTAACCAAAAGGTTATTAAGGACTTAGAAATTGGAACTGATCCCCTAAATTGAAGGAAAATGAATACCATCTGAAAAAACACTTCATACCAAAACTTATTTTGAAATTAGAAAGAAATTAAGTACTCTAAGAAAAAGAAACTAAGAAGAAACTAGAAGAAACTAAGAGGAGAGACTTAATAAAGAAAACAAGTTGAATGATTAGAATAGAAAAAATAGAGAAAAAAATCCAAATGCTACTTTGACAAAATTATGAATGATATCAAAGAAAGAATTGCAAACAAAAGAGAGATTCAAATAAACATAAACAATCATCTCATGAAACTGAGACTGAGGCCTGCCTGAAACCTAAAACAAATGGCTGATTTTTTTTTCTTTTAAGATTTTACTTATTTGACAGAGAGAGAGACCGCGAGAGCAGGAACACAAGCAGGGGGAGTGGGAGAGGGAGAAGCAGGCTTCCTGCCGAGCAGGGAGACCGACATGGGACTGGATCCCAGGACCCCAGGATCATGACCTGAGCTGAAGGCAGATACTTAACAACTGAGCCACCCATGCACCCCACAAATGGCTGATTTCTAAACAAACAAGAAATCAACATTCATCCAAGAAGAAGCAAACTTTATTAAACAGGCCAACTATTATTACAGAAGAGACTGGAAAGGTGATAAAAGAGCTACTTCTACAAAAACAATCAGGACCAGATGGTTTCAAAGTGGAGTGTTCTTTAGCTAACCTTTATTCCAATGTTAACTTTACCTGTAGAATGCCCTAGGAAAAGACTGAAAATTTCCCAATACACTGAATGAAAACTAATGTTATATAACCTTGATCAAGTCATTTTAAAAAGTAATATTATAGACCAATCTTTAATTATTAAAATAGATGTGACTATTTTACATGAAATATTAAAGGAATCCCAATTTAAAAATATGCTAATATCTATTTAAAGAAGGTTTATTCTAGAAATGCAAGGATAGTTCAAAAACTTTTAAATCTAAAATTTATCAACATAATCCATTACACATAAAGAAATTAAAGGTGGAAAACACACTAAATGATCTTATCAATACAAGGATTCTAAAAGGCACTGGATAAAATTAGACAATCATTCCTACTTAACAACTCTAGTAGAATAAAATTACTTAAGTATTCTATATAGCAAATTAAATCTATTTCAATGAAAATCAGAAACTTAGGGGCACCTGGGTGGCTCAGTCATTAAGCGGCTGCCTTTGGCTCAGGTCACGATCCCAGGATTCTGGGATCGAGCCCCACATTGGGCTCCCTGCTCCGTGGGAAGCCTGCTTCCCCCTCTCCCACTCCCCCTTGTTCGTGTTCCCTCTCTTGCTGTGCCTCTCTGTCAAATAAATAAATAAAATCTTAAAAGAAAAGGAAAGAAAATCAGAAACTTAGATACTTAAAATCATTACTTAACACTGTACCAGAGGTTCTAAAGCAGTGGTTCTCAACAGGGGAGAATTTAGAAACTGAATGGTGGCATTTTGGGCTGTTCAACTGAGATTAGAGGAGGAGGGCTCTATAGCCGACATTTAGTGGTTATTGGTCAGAAATGTTAAACCAAAAAGATGACAAATATAATAAAAAGCAATTCATATACAAGTACATGTAAATTACCAATAAGCTATGAAAAGATACTCCCATCATTAACAGGGAAATAAAATTAAAGTTAACAGTGAGATAGCATTTTGACTCCCATTAGATGGGCAAAAACTTAAGACAAAAAAAGTAACAGTGCTTGTGAAGTGGAGACGAAAAAAGGGTATTTTAATATGTCAGACGTAAAACTACACTGATAGCCTTCTGGTAAATTACTCTGGCCACATCTATAAAAATTAAAAATATTTTGACCCAGCAATACCAATCTTGAGACTCCTCAACACAAAAATACCAGTTTGTAAAAGCATTATTCACAAAGATATGTATTTAAAGTAACATGCTCACAGTGGCAAAAAAACTGAAAATAAGTGCAAATCAATAAAGGGACAGATGTATAAATAGTAGGTGAAAGGAGAGTTGAAGGGGTAAGGAAAATGGGGGGATGAAAAGGATGACAATTAAATGATTTTATAAAATTATTTGTGTATAAAATTATTTAAAATATTTTAAAGTCGACCAAAACCTATTCATTATGGAAAAACCGAAAGTCTCCGCAAAAATAGCTTGAAAGCTGATTTCCAATACTAACCATAATTATCTAACCTTTAGTTAACTATCATCAGATTTGTCTAGGTAATTTCACATAACTGAGATTATAATATAGTTAATAAACATTAAGAAGAGTACAGAGGCACATAGCTTAATAGTTTTTTAAAAAGGCTATTATGTCATTTCCTTGAAAATCTAAATGGTATCTGCATAGCTTCCATGTAATTTTGCCAATTTTGGAAATCAACATATTCAAAGAGTGGTTAAGAGAACAACTCTGGAGCCAAATAGTACATTTGCATTCTGGCTGCACGATTATTAGATCTGTATCTTGAGCAAGTTACTTAACTGTTCTGGGCCTTCCTCATCTCTAAAATGGGAATATTAACAATACCTAGCAATATCTAAAGAAGTTAATAGTCATTAAGCACTTACTACAGTACTGGAACTGAAGAGATATAGTTACCTTTACTGTAAATCCTGAATATAAGAGAATATTCATATAAAAAAGGCCTCTGAACAACTTGCTGCCAGAGGGCAGGGGGCAGGGAGGATGGGTAAAATAGGTGAGAGGGATTAAGAGGTACAAACTTCCAGTTATAAAATAAAGAAGTCATGGGGGTGCCTGTGTGGTGAAGTCCTGAGGCACCTGACTGGTTTTGGCTCAGGTGGTGATCATGGGTTCATGAGATTGAGCCCTGCCTCAGGGCTCTCCCTTCCTCCCTTCCTCTTCCCCACCTGCCCTCCCCTGTAAGCATGTGTAAATCTTTTTAAAAAATAAACGAGGGGCGCCTGGGTGGCTCAGTTGGTTAAGCGACTGCCTTCGGCTCAGGTCATGATCCTGGAGTCCCGGGATCGAGTCCCGCATCGGGCTCCCTGCTCAGTGGGAAGTCTGCTTCTCCCTCTGACCCTCCTCCCTCTCGTGCTCTCTATCTCTCATTCTCTCTCTCAAATAAATAAATAAAATCTTTAAAAAATAAAAAAAATAAACGAATAAATAAATAGGTCATGGAGATGAAAGGTATAGATGAAGGGAATATAGTCAGTAACATTGCAATAATGTTATATGGTGACTACTATGCTTGTTGTAGTGAACATCGAGTAATTCACAGAATTATCAAGTCACTGGGTTGTACACCTGAAACTAGTATGTCCACTACACTGCAATGATAAGTATTTTTAGAATGTGAGATACACACACACAAAGGAATATTTTTTAGCCATAAAAAAAAAAAAAGGAATCCTACCATTTGCAGCATGGATACTAAGTGAAATAAGTCACAGAAAGGCAAATACTGTATGATTATATGTGGAATTAAAAAAAAAAAAAGCTCACAGAGAACAGATTGGTGGTTGCCAGAGGGGGGTAGGGGGGAGGCAGGGGAAATGGGTGAAGGTGGTCAATGGGTACGAGCTGCCAGTTATAAGATGACTAACTTCTGGGGTATAATGTATAGACTGATGACTATTGTTAACACTACTGTATTATATATTTGAAAGTTGCTGAGAGTAGTTTTTTTTTTTTTTAAGATTTATTTTTATTTCAAAGAGAGTGAGAGAAGCAGACTCCCTGCTGAGCACAGAGCCCCACAACACTGGGCTTGATCTCACAACCCTGAGATCCAGACCTGAGCCAAAATCAAGAATCAGACACTTAACTGACTGAGCCATCCACACGTCCCAAGAGTAGATTTTTTTAAAAGTTCTCACCACACACACACTCCAGTAATAAATGAAGCAATGGATGTGTTAACTAATCTTATTGTGGTAATCATTTTGCAATATATACATATATAAAATCACTATGTTGTACATTTCAAACTATACAATGTTATATGCCAATTATATACCGATAAAGAGAAAAATAAATACCTGGATTATCAAAAAAGGGGGGGGCCTCCCTGGGGACAGAATAATGACGGCATTCAATTTTGAAGAACAAGGCAGAGGTGCTCTTGCTCTATCAGATATTTAGGCATAATACTAGAGGACTTAAGATTGATAATCATATAGGGAATAAAGAGTATATAAAACAGACCAAAGGACCCTGAAACAGAAGGAAAATAGCATTACAAATCAGTAATGAACAGGCTATGCAATAAATAGTGCTGGGAACACCAGTTGTTACTCATTTGGAAAAAAGAAAATGGAATCCCTAGGGACGCCTGGGTGGCTCAGTCGGTTGGGCGACTGCCTTCGGCTCAGGTCATGATCCTGGAGTCCCGGGATCGAGTCCCGCGTCGGGCTCCCTGCTCGGCAGGGAGTCTGCTTCTCCCTCTGACACTCCCCCCTCTCGTGTGCTCTCTCTTTCTCTCTCTCATTCTCTCTGTCTCAAATAAATAAATAAAATCTTTAAAAAAAAAAAAAAAAGAAAATGGAATCCCTATCTTACACTGAACAACAAAATCAATTTCAGGTAGCTTAACAACCTAAACACGGTAAGCGAAACTTGAAAAACTTTTAGAGGACTATATACAAGAATAGAACACAACCACAGGGTGAAAAAGAATTTCTTCAATAAAAAATAAAGAATGTAAGGAAAACCATGAATATGCTTGACACTAAAACTGAAAACTTCTGTTCACTAAAATATATAAACCAAAATGATGAGGAGAGCCTCCGTGGCTCAGTCAGTTAAGCAGCTGCTTTCGGCTCAGGTCATGATCTCAGGGTCCTGGGATGGAGCCCCACTTCTGGCTCTCTGCTCAGCAGGGAGAATATGCATCTCCCTTTCCCTCTGCCTCTCCTCTCTCTCTCTCTCTCAAATAAATAAATAAAATCTTTGGAGGAAAAAAAAAAGATGAGATATCATAAGCTGGGATGAAAACTGCATTTACAATTCATGTAAATGATGAAGGATTTGAAATCAGATTATAGACAGGACTCTTTTTCAAGTCATGTTAAAAAAAGAAAAAAAAATCCAAAAAAAGGAGGCAAAAGACCTCAACAGGCAATTCACAGAAGATGGATGAAGAGGGTCTGAGGTACAAATTAAAGTAACATGATATAACGTCACACCAGTCTGACAAAATGTTTAAAGTCTATCAATACGACAAGTAGGTAAAGAGGTGGTACTACAAGAAAGAAACATTATATAATAACTTTGGACACTCATTTGGTAATATCTAGTAAAGGTGAAGTTGTATAATTCACTAGGATACAGAAATCCACTTCTGAGTGAATGGGCTAACCTACAAACACAATTGGCCCTGTATCTAAGGATACAAAAAAATTTTCATATCAACACCGCTTGTAAACGGCCCAAATTGGAAGCAGTCAACGGGTAAAATTATGCAGGAGGGAAAATTAATCAACTACTGCTACAATGTTGACATCGATGAATCTCAAAAATGATGCTAAGTGAAAAAAAAAGTTATAAATCATTTATATAAAGTTTTATGACACACAAAACAATACCTTGTTTAGGAATACAGAGGAACTGGAAGTACTTTTAAGGTAAAAAGAAACATCAAGTTCAGAACTTGGGGAGAAGAGGGAGAAATGACCAGGGAGGGGAGTAAACAGAGAACGTAATTAAATTAACTTATTTCTCAAGCCGGCTAATGGTTTCAAACGAATCCTTTATATTATCCTTCATACTTTCCTGTAAGCCTCAGTTACTTCAAAATTTAAAAAAGAATCACTTCTTAATATAAAATTAACTTACCTTTTTAGTTTCTTTGCTTAAAGTATAAAAAGTAATTGTTAATTAAATCTCAAGGTAGAAAAGTAAGAAGGTAAGGTGTTCCAGAAATGAGAAGATGCTATTCAGCTCTGTAGCAGCCAATAAGCATAATATGATGGGATGGAAAATGTAAAATGGGATATGAAGAACTAATGCCAGGAGGCAGAAATTATTTTTCAAGAGTACAAAAGAGGCTTTATATCACTATTAGCTTTTAAATTCCCTGTGCTCCTATTCTATGCACTATGCTGAATTTCACATTTATCAATATTGTTTTTTACAGTTTACTATATAAATTTATATTCCCAGCAAACTATTGATTTTTGCATATATTTAAATTTTATATAAATGGAATCATACTATATTTATTCTCTTCTGTGACTTTCATTTCTTCTCTCAACATTATGTTTCTGAGATTTGCCCCTGAGGTTGTAATCTCAGAGTAAGTAGGGGTCAAATCATGCAGGGCCTGTTAGTCTACTGTAAGACCACTATAGACTACTCTACTTTGAATGAAGCAAGGAACCACTGGAGGATTTTAAACAAAGCCTGACTTGATTTGACTTGTATTTTAAAAAGATCTATCACATCACTGCTGTGTTAGAAACAGACTGTAGGAGAATAAGGATGGAAGCAAGAGGACCAATTAGGGGTGACTACAAGTAATCCAAATAAGGTAAGACAATATTAATGGCAGAGATAATGAGAAATTGTCATATTTGGATACATTTTCAGAGTAGAAATAAAGAAATTAGAATCTGACAGTTTTTATATGTGGTATAAGACTCGATGACTAAGAATTTGGTCTAAATTGGAGAGTTGCCATTAAATGATAAGGAGAAAACGGGGGGTGAAATACACTGGGAGGGGGAGTTTTATCGGGAGTTCACTTTTGGACAGGATTAAAATGTCTGTTAGACAACTACTGGTAGATACTGAGTAGACAGTTATTTATAGGTACTTGGAGTTCAAGAAGAAAGCCTAAGGTAGAGATATAAATTTGAAAATAACAACATAGATAGTATTTAGAGCCACAACCAGATCAGATGACTAAGAAAATGAAATACACAGAAAAGTAAAAGCTCTAAGGCACTTCAACAATAAGAGATCAAAAAAATACACATTAAAGTAAATCAAAAGCAGTAATCTTGTTTGGACCAATGGGTAAAACAGGTTAGGACCCAGCTTGAGTGAACTCCAATTACACACAAAATAAGTATTATCACCAAAGATGGAATTTTTAACTCTGGTCAGACATTTCACACAAGTGTGAATTGGGTTACAAATTGAGCATGGGTAAAAGCAAATTTATGTTTCAGAGAAATCCAATTTTATTACTAGAAAAAAACCTCACAAGTATATTATATTCATTATAAGTCTACTGATCATAGTTACAAGTGAAAGATGTTTTCAACTTACTAAGTAAAAAGACCTGTAGTTATATATGAATACTCACTGGACAAGCTATAATATTATATATACTAGAAAGACACCTGCATTGTTTTTACCTAGTGAGCAGTTGCTCTGCATCCTTCCATCTGTTGAACAACGTAACATGGTGCCAACCACACGGCCTCCCACAACAATGACACGCACATCCCGTCCATGAGACTCCTTAACATACTTCTGGAACAGGTATGGAGCTTCATGGCGAATAAGATGGCTTAGATCAGCCAAATGGTGCTTATCTCGAGCCAAGAAAACCGCTTTGCCTGTGGTTGAAAAAGAATACAAAAAATATGTAAGTCAAACTCTGAGCAGTTGATATGTATCACCTGCATCTTCTTGGGTCTCAACCTGCTCTTTCAGGATCTATTACTTTTTTAACCAAAGTAACAGTTATGGTAATGAGTATACAATGCAAAAATGTGTATAAAGTTAATACTCTCCTACCACTCCCTTAATTCCTACGCTACTCTAGAATTTATTTCAGTATTATGTCATGAAGTAGGGGTCTAAGATTTGTATTCCTCCAGGTGAGACAATAATGTCGGCCTCATTTATTAGCAAAACATTTCCCTCTGAGTAAAAACAAGTCTTACATATTATTATACAATATATGTAACACTTGCATAGAATAAAATAGTATGTTACTACATACCTAGTTTTATTTCTGAGTTCACCAGACAATTCCATTACTGTATTTGTCAATTTCTGTGATAAAACAAGTGGCTGTTTTTAAAACATGGGTATGGGGCGCCTGGGTGGCTAAGTCGGTTAAGAATCTACCTTCAGCACAGGTCATGATCCTGGAGTCCTAGGATCCAGCCTGCATCAGGCTCCCTGCTCAAAGGGAGACTTTCTCCCTCTCCCTCTGCCCCAACGCCAGCTTGTGATCGATCTCTCTCTCTCTCTCAAATAAATAAATAAATAAAATCCTTTAAAAACAGTAAAATAAAACGGGTACAAATCCTTTGATATTCTTCCCACCAAGAAGAGGGGGAATCTTTGTCCTTTCCCTTTGAATCAAGGAGGGGCTGTGATTGCTTCAGACAATGGAACCCAGCAGAAGCTTTTCTGTATGACTTCTGAGGCTAATTCATAAAAGATCATGTCGCTTCTGTGTTCACTGGAGCCTCTCTGTGGAGCCCTAAGACTTCTTGGCTGACATACTGGAGACCTAATTATAAACAATACATTCAACAGCCCCAGCTGAACCTCAATCTAACTATCTCTGTCAAGGCATCAAGCTTTATGAAGTACTTGGATTCATGAAAATTTTGAAAATGAAATCCTTACTATTCTATAGCTTCATAGCTTTGCTTTATATATTTAAGTCTTCAAACTATATAAATTGCGACAGGGATCACTGGAGTTAGTGATCCAAGGTCCTTGCATTGTTAAAGAGAAAGATAAAGATATAATTTGAAGGTTGGTCTAAATTAAATATGCATCTTAAAATCTCCAGGACAACCACTAAATGAACAGAAATAGCTTCTAGGGGCACTTGGGTAGCTCAGATGGTTAAGCGTCTGCCTTTGGCTCAGGTCATGATCCCAGGGCCCTGAGACAGAGTCCCACTTCAGGCTCCTGTCTTAGCAGGGAGCCTGCTTCTCCCTCTCCCTCTGCCCACCCCCCTCTGTGTCACAAATGAATAAATAAAAAATCTTAAAAAAAAAAAAAGAAAGAAAGAAAAAGCTTCTAGCCAAAGTGAACAACTCACGGGAGACTTCCGTAAGTTTGAAGTACCATGTACCAACAATTTCCTTCTATTCTCCCAAAGTCCTTTCAAAAGCTATACATTTCAATTGTTAAGACTACTGTCTAGTCAATAACCATGAGGAAATACAAAGAAAATAATAGCAATGATCAGATTAAGAAAAATTTATTTTGTATAATCACCCTTATTAATTCTCAAGAGTAATCTCAAAATGATGTACCACAGTAACAATTCATACACACCTCTATGACCTCGAGTATTCTTCACTACCATTGGAAACTCCAGTACTTCTGCTTCATCAATCATTTTAGCAAAATTTTCATGACCGCCTGGTTTGAGCAAAAAAGAAATTAAGAACAGTAACATAGGTGTTATGTGGTAAGTTTTATCTATACCAAAGTCAGCAACACAGAGGAGGTAGAAGGTTAAGAACCTGATGGCTAAATTTTTTCTTAAAGGAAATAATTAAAAGTCGAGGGGTGCCTGGAGTGCCTGGGTGGCTCAGTCAGCTGAGCATCTGCCTTCAGCTCAGGACATGATCCCGGGGCCCTGGGATCAAGCCCCACATGGGGCTCCCTGCTCAGTTGGGAGCTTGCTTCTCCCTCTCCCTGCTGCTCATGCTCTCTCTCACACACTAATAAATGAACAAAATCTTAAAAAAAAAAAAAAAAAGGTTGAAGGGTGCCTGGGTGGCTCAGGCGGTTAAGCATCCAACTCTTGATCTCAGGTCAGGTCTTGATCTCATGATCTCACAGTCATGAGTTCAAGCCCCACGCGCAGCATGGAGCCTACTTTAAAAAGCTGTTAAGTACAGTTAAATACCAGTTTGAAACAACCCCTTTTAAAATGGATGAAAGCTATCTTAAACTACAAATATTCTAGTATCTAACTTAAAGAAATTAAGTATCTTTCAGCTCAGTTTCCTAATTCTATATGATATATTTTTATCCCTTATTCCTCTGCTACACAAAATAACAGAATCAACAAGATCTACTTCTGTGTACTTATTGCCTGGTTTAGAATAAGAAAAAGAAGAATGAGTCTGTTTAGAAGACTCATCCAAGGTTGATGCTACGTGTGTTCTCTCCCTCTCACGAAACATACAAATTAATTTTTCTTATCTTCATTATTAATCAGAGTTCTTTCTACACTGAGCCACCTAGTATCCATGAGTTAAGTTTTATTCTTTCCTGTTTTTATTGCCTAAGAACAAATGATACAGTAATAAGATTAGAGCAAAAATGAACTATAGTTGTAAAAAATCAGCATGGTGATATAAAAAAATTAAACCAGGAAAAAGTTCACTAATCAAATGCAGTATCATACATTTACAGCTTAGAGAAATTATGATGATTCAGTCCCCTAATTTTAAACCTTCAACATGAGAGTACAGGTAACGTGTTAATTTGTTTAACCCTTTTCTCCTTTCCACTCTCTTGAAATCCGAAGCACAGACCCATAATATAAGCTAGAATATCCCAAACGCATCTGACAGAATTCTCAAACATACTGTCTCTTCTTATGCAATTGCTGAAAAGAGCAACTGTATCCACACATGCCATACAGACTTGGGGAGCTCCTTTCTTTAAAATATTTAAGCTGGGGGGCACCTGGGTGGCTCAGTAGTTAAGCATCTGCCTTCGGCTCAGGTCACGATCCCAGGGTCCTGGGATCGAGCCCCGCATCGGGCTCCCTGCTCCGCGGGAAGCCTGCTTCTCCCTCTCCCACTCCCCCTGCTTGTGTTCCCTTCTCTCGCTGTGTCTCTCTCTGTCAAATAAATAAATAAAATCTTTAAAAAAAAAAAAAATTTTAGGTTGGGGCACCTGAGTGACTCAGTCAGTTGAACGTCTGACTCTTAATTTCGGCTCAGGTCATGATCTCAGGGTCATGAGACTTTGAGCCCTGTGTCGGGCTCCACACTCAGTGCAGAGTTTGCTTGTCCCTTTCCCTCTAATCCTCCCCACACATGTGTGTGTGCATGCGTTCTGTCTCTCTCATAAATAAATCGTTTATGTATTATATAAAAAAAAGCCTCATTAACTCTCCAAAAACACTACTGAACATTTATTTGAGGAATTGTCTTTATGGGAAATTGTAATGATTTATAGTAAGTTTGATCCTTTCCAAACAAAAGACCTGGACAGGCAGGAAATATACTAACATAATATTACTTATAGCAGTGCTACTCAAGAGCGTTGCCTGGTAACCTGTGCCTGTTTGCAACTTCTCTGAAACTGATATGTGACCCGATAAATATAAAGAGTAGCACTGGAAGCTTTTATAGCAATCTTGCATTACTCAGACATTTTTATCATATTTTATAAGAGTACTGATCCACAGCATGTTGGTCTTTTAAAAAAAATGATCCTTTACCTTTACCATAGATAGTTTTGGAAGCACTGGTTTTCAAGTATACCTAGGATAGTGTCATTTTCTTAAAAAATATGAAAAATTTATGAAGAATAACCATGAAAATGCTGGTAAGGATAATCAGACATTAAACAGAGATGTCACCAAATTGTATTATCTTTACCGTGGCATTGGCAAACTAAGGCTTTTAAGACAGATTTGGTCCAGTGTCTTTTTTTATAAAAAAGTTTTATTGGAACACTGCCATACTCATTTAAGTGTGGTCTATGGCAGCTTTCACACTACAACAGCATTACTGAGGGTCACAAGAAGACTGACGACCCAGAAAGTGCAAAATATTTACTATTTGGCCCTTTATAAAAAGTTTGCTAAATCTACTCTCCCAATATCAAGGAATTAAATCTTAACACAGATTTATAATTCTCATGCCCAGTTTGTTAAAACTGAAAGTTTTTTTTTTTAAAGATTTTTATTTATTTATTTATTTGACAGAGAGAGAGACACAGCAAGAGAGGGGACACAAGCAGGGGGAGTGGGAGAGGGAGAAGCAGACTCCCCACTGAGCAGGCAGCCCAACGTCGGGCTCGATCCCAGGACCATGGGATCATGACCTGAGCCAAAGGCAGATGCTTAATGACTAAGCCACCCATGCGCCCCAAAACTGAAAGTTATTTCTATAAAAAGTTCCTTCATGTATCACATAACCCTATTAATTTAGTATGGCTTTCAAAACTATAAGTGCTGTAAAACTTAGGCTATAAATTCTTATTAGTGAACTTACCATAAGAGAAAGTGTCCGGCAGAGGAACACCATGGCCAGCCAACTCTTGAAAAGTCCAAAACTTATTAACACAGTTCAGGATGGCTTGAGGTCGGTTCATCAACCGGCATCCCATCTTCTCTAAATGGCGCAAAACAGTGATGTCACTATCACTTTGCACCCAAGGGGTTGGTACTCTCACTACCACCACTTGGGGATAGGCAGTAATTAGTTCTCCATTGATCCGTAGACCTGAAATATACAGGAATGAAGCCAAAACCATTAAAAGGGAATATACATATATACATATATATATACACACTTTATATATAGAGAGAGTGAGTTTGGGTCACAAAACTGAAAGTAAAATACAATTTTGTTAAGATTTCACTGGAAGGAGACATTCCTTATATTCCTTTACAAGAAAAAAGAAAATTTAATGAGAAAAATTTCTGCAGTGGTTAAATTATGTTATGTGTCAATAAAATGAAATACCACAAAGCCTTAAAAAAAAAAAAATGTCATGGGGGACCTGGCTGGCTCAGTTGGTAGAGCATAGGACTCTTTGATCTCAGGGTCATGAGTTCAAGCCTCACACTGGGTGTAGAGATTACTTAATAAAATTAAAAAGACTGTCATAATCTCTATGTTCAGAGATAGAAAAAATGTTCAGCTACGTAATGCTGAGTTTAAGAAAAAAAAAAAAGCAAATCTTGGGGCGCCTGACTGGCTCAGTCAGTAGAGCCTGTGACTCTTGATCTCAGGGTTGTAGGTCCCAGCCGCATGCTGGGTCTAGAAATTACTTAAAAATAAAATCTTAAGGGCGCCTGGGTGGCTCAGTTGTTAAGCGTCCGCCTTCGGCTCAAGTCATGATCCCAGGGTCCTGAGATCGAGTCCCACACTGGGCTCCCTGCTCGGCAGGAAGCCTGCTTCTCCCTCTCCCACTCCCCCTGCTTGTGTTCCCGCTCTCGCTATCTCTCTCTCTGTCAAATAAATAAATAAAAATGAATAAATAAAAAATAAAATAAAAAATAAAATAAAATCTTAAAAAAAAAGCAAAAGCAAAGCCGATGTATGGAATTATTGAAGCACTACACTGTACACCTGAAATTAATATAACCCTGTATGCTAACTATAATGGAATTAAATTCTGTATTAATTCTATTTTTTGTGTTCATTTTAGATAAAGCAAGAAATAAGGAAGTTGCCATCTTTTATGGTTTTTCTTGTATGATTTTACGCCTAGGTGTTGCATTTTTTCAACAGCTGCTCTAAGATTTATTCTTTAAAAAAAAAAATCCAAAAACAGGGGCACCCAGGAGGCTTATTGGGGACCGCATGCAACACTTGATCTCAAGGTTATAAGTCTGAGCCCCAACTTGGGTGTAGAGATTACTTAAAAATTTTAAAAGTCTTTAAAAAAAAAAAAACCTGTTTGCATTAAAAAATAGTATGCTTGTTTTAAAACATTCAAATACAAAAATATATGATGTATTCAGCTCCCATCCAACATCCTAGGTACTCAGTGTTAACAGTGTATTTTCCCCACTGCTAAGTATAGAAAAATATTTAAATTATTTTTAGAAAAATTAGGTATTTTACGTTACTTTCTGTCATCACTTAAAATTACACAAGACATCTTTCTCTGTCAGTACATATAACGTTTCATTTCCTTCTCTTTTTAGTGGGTTAACTGGAATTACATCTTATATGAGATATACCATATGACCAGTACCTTACTCACAGACATTCATTTACTTAAATATTAAGCAATTACTATGTGTCAGATTATTTTGTAAAGATTAGAAATAGATTGGCAAAAAGGCAGATAAGGTCCTTATTCTTAGAAGAATCCATTCTAGTGGGAGAGACACTTTTAAACGTGGAAGTTCTAATATAGGAGAGAGAAGTGGGTTAACACCTGAGTTAGGGTATAAGACTTAGTTATTTGTGTGTTTAAAGAGGAAGGAAACTTCACATTTAAGGGAGTTGAAGTCACAGAGCAAAAGAGCAGTAAGAACAATAGGTGGTTCAACTACAATATTTACTAACAGAATGTAAAAGATAAGGTTGGTCATTTAAGGTGTCAAACATGAAAAGCCACAAGTTTTTATTAAGATATAACTGCCATAGGGACGCCTGGGTGGCTCAGTCGGTTAAGCGGCTGCCTTCGGCCCGGGTCATGATCCCAGGGTCCTGGGATCAAGTCCCACATCGGGCTCCTTGCTCAGCAGGGAGCCTGCTTCTCCCTCTCTCTCCCTCTGCTTGTGCTCTGTCAAATAAATAAAATCTTAAAAAAAAAAAAGATATAACTGCCATATAACACCGTATTAGTTTTAGGTGTATAACATAATGATTTAATATATGAAATACATTGGGAAATGACCACTGCAATAAATGTACTTAACATCTATCACTCTCTTAGCAACATTCAAATATACAATATAGGAGTACCTGCATGACTTAGTCGGTTGAGCGACCAACTCTTAATTTCGGCTCAGGTCATAATCCCAGGGTTGTGAGACTGAGCTGTGTCAAGGTCTGCATTGGGTGTAGAGCCTGCTTAATATTCTCTCTCTCCCTCGGGCCCCCTCCCCACCCCTTCTCTCTTTAAAAAAGAAATATACGCTACAGTATTGTTAGTCATAGTCACCACGCTGAACATTACATCCCTAGGATTTATTTATCTTATAACTTGGAAGTCTGTACCGTTTGACCACCATTTCCCATTTCCTCCACCCCACTACCCACTTCTGACAACCACCAAACTGTTTTCTGTACCTATGAGTTTGGCTTTTTTTGATTCCACATATAAGATCATACAGCATTTGCCTTTCCTTCTGACTTACTTCTTTCTCTTAGCATAATACCTGCAAGGTCCCTCCATATTGTCACAAATGGCAGAATTTCCTTCTTTTCAATGGCCGAATAATATTTAAATATACGTACATATGTATCACATTTTCTTTATTCATTCATCAATGGACACTTAGGTTATTCCTATGTCTTAGCTATCATAAATAATAAAGCACTGAACATGGGGCATGCAGATACATCTTTGAGATAGTGGTTTTGTTTCATGGAGGTAAATACTTAGACCTGGAATTGCTGGATCCACAAATTCTAAGCTAAAGAGTTTGTATTTGTTCTGCGTAAGGGAACTCAGGGTGTGTGCTGCATACTGCCTGCTGATACTTCACACTATACCCATCTTTTAATCCTTCTCTATATGGCAGGATCTAGAAGCATTTCCCACACTCCCTTACCAGCAGGACTCGATTTTGAAAATCTACCACCAAGAGAGAATTACACAAAAATTTAAAGGTCAAAGAGAAGTAGAAGTCACTATTCTCAGGGGCAGCTGCACATAGGTATGTAGTCATTGGGAGATGTGAGGTTTTGCCAGTGGCTTCAGGGATTCCCATAATCGTTCATGGTGCGGCTACAGGTATCTGGAGATCAGCACCATACAGTTTTCTGCAATCCCGCACTTTGTCATTTTTTAAAAAATGTATTTTATTTATTTGAGAGAGAAAGGGGGGGGAGCATACAGAGAGGGACAAGCAAAGCAGACACCATGCTAAGCATGGAGCCTGACATGGGGCTTGATCTCATGACCCCGAGATTATGACCTGAGCCGAAATCAAGAGTCAGAGGCTTAACTGACTGAGCCACCCAGGCGCCCCCGCACATTTCTTAGGCTTTTCAGTGACTTGCCTCAATAGGCAAATGTAAAAAGCATTTTTTTTAAATGTAAAAAGCATTTTTTTTTTAAGACAGAAGAAACTTATTGACCAGACTGGGAGTTAGAAGTTTTTAAACTAGGACATGAAGAATGGGAAAGTTAAAAAAGCAAAGCCATTTTAGGGCAGAAGATGCTGAATTTGGATATAAAAGATTTCAGTGATAACAGGACATCAAAGTATAACTATTTTGTAATAGAAGTATGGGTTGAAACTATACATATATGTGTACATAATTCATATTGGTATTGTGAAGTGTGTGTACATGTATGCATATTTTTACTTATTTGTCTGTTTACTGGAATTTGCCCAAGACATAACAGCTAAAGAAACAGGGATATATAGGCTGAAAAAAATGGAAAAAATGGAGAAACCTAAGACCAAAATTTGATGGATATCAATAAGAGACAGTGAAAGGAATTAAAAACCTGAAGGGAAAAAAATCAGCCAAAAAACTAGGAAAATCTACTTTTAAGTAGTATTGTGAAAAATGAGAAAGGTCAGTATAATCAGGAGAGAATGATCAAATTCACTAAATAAAACAGAAGAAATAGGAAGGATGAGTGTTAAGAAGTTTGAGTGATCAGAAAAGGATACTGTCAGTTGCCAAGAGAAACATTCAACCATCATTACATTTTCATCTCATTTCCCTAAACTGCACTTTTAAGAAATGTGATAAAATTGGAGCACCTGGGTGGCACAGTTAGTTAATCGGCCAACTCTTGGGTTTTGGCTCAGGTTGTGAGATCGAGCCCTACGTCAGGCTCCACGCTTAGCACAGAGTCTGCTTAGTACTCTCTCTCCCCCTCCCCTTGTGCGTTCTCTCTCTCAAAATACACATAAATCTTAAGAAAGAAAGCAATGGAAATGTTACACGCTTAGTCCACCCAACTGTTGCCACCAGAAATCAGGAATATGGGAGTACTTTACCCAAAGTGCATATCTGCATACTACACTATATGGGTATTATTGATGAAAAGAAATTCAATACCTCTTGTATCAGAAACAAACACTTCTTTTTTTTAGACAAGCAGAAGGTGAACCAAGACTAGAAAGAAGGGCAGGTACAGAACAATGTGAGCCCAGAAAGGCAAAACAACATCTCTCAGAACTCTGCCTTAAGTGTTACTCATCTTTTGGGCACTGTTAGCAAATGCTGTACCATTACCTTTGATGTTGAGTTTATAAAACTGAAATATAAGATCCCTGTTATTCAGTATACACATGCACAAAGATGTGTATGGAATTTTCCCCACAATTCCATTACACTCATTGTAAAACAGGTAGTGCAGTTGAATGTGCTACCACTCACTTTGCTGGACTCCATTTTCTCAGAAATGTATTTTTTACTTATCTTAAACCTCAACTTGTGAAACCATTCATCTAATTTTATTTTGTACTGGGTTGAAGATTTCAATACAAATATTTTAGATTTTACATTTTAGATTAAGTGCATGATCAAGCATTAACAGCCAATAATAAGTGAACCTTAGAAAAGCAATGGGGGGG